GATTTAAAAATGTTTTACAACACTAGAAACTATTCTCTCACCATGTAATTCAAATTTAAGTGTAAATTTTGGCTGAGAAAACTAACAGACACTAATGAGAGAAAAAATTTTGTACATTTTGTTTTTAATAAAAAAATATTGTACACCTTCTTATCAAATCTCTTGTTATACTCCTCTTTTTTTTCACTTGACTTATCTTGGCCATTTTTTTATCTCATTTCTTTTGATGCTTCCAATAACTTTGAGCTAGACATGATCACTTATGTTTACAAATTGTAAAAGCCATGACATGAATTTTCCAGTGTGGACTGATCTTCAGCAGAGTTGGCTTACAGCTCCCCAAACAACCTGCCTTCATCCTTCTTCCTTGTCCCATGTAGTCTCAAACTCATCAAAGTTTTACCTTTAGTGCTCATTTCTTAATTAGTGACAATCTCAGTTTTTGTCTGAAATAGAGCATATTAAAATGGTACAGTAGAATTATTTTAGGTTAGGCTGATACCCAAGAAGACAGGCATCATGCAATTATTTCAATGCTGACAAGAAATGCGTGGGTACCTGTCTCATTTTTCTGATTCAGTTGCTGACAGGGCTCTAAAAGAAGCTTCAGTTCTTTGTGATAATTCTTTTAGTTTAGATTTTAAAAACAAATTTCCCCATTTTTTCTTGTGTTTTTATAAGGAATTTTATGTAGGGAACAAAAGTGTTAGGGGAAAATATCTTTAAAAGTTTCAAAAATCTCAACCTATCTAAACACAGAATAAGTTAAAATGATATAGATTAAATTAGACTAAGAAAATTCCTCCAAATGGAGATTTTCAAAAGAAATTGATAGTGCATTTCCTAATTTTAACATTATTCAAAATAGAAGTGTCCAACATCAATAAGAATTTTCCACTTACTTCACTGTACCACCCCTTTGTGTTAAGAAAGGGAGAAAAGCCATTTATGACAGTTTATTTTTAGATATTGATCATCTCATCTTGCTGCAAAGGGAATAAAAATAATTAAAGTAGAGTGAAAAATCATTTTAAGCACAGCATATTTCAAAGCATAAAACTGCTCAGATGAGAGTTCTTGAAATCCCGGTAATAAATGCATGCCCTAGATATTTTTTAAAGTCTATACCTTACTTATTCAAATTGTCCTTTTAAGAGTCAGTTAAAGTTAAATTCGTATATTTAGGTACTTCATATGATTCCAAATAAACCTTTGGTTGCTATATATACATAATGGCTGGATGAGACAATTTGTTGGATGTTAACTATATGTAATTTAATTTAAAATATAACTTTAGCACTTGTTTATAATAGGTTCTTTTGTCAAACTTAAACTAACATTCCTTCAGTGTGGAAAAAATTCCTTCTTTTTTGGTACCTTAAATTTCCTTTTGGAAATTTGGAAAATATAGAAAAGTAAAGTCTTCCCATAGATTCACTATCTAGAAACAGTTAACTATTCTATCTCAGGATTTTATCCATCAGTACTCATTTATATTCATACTATGGGCACAAACAGAACACACATCTCAGGAAACCCCAGACTATATCATTTACAGCAGAAAAGCTGTGAAGTAATTCAGAGATAATTTTTTTCTACTAATATACAAGTTTCCTAAAAGGCACATTTTGTTAAAATTAGATATCTGTATGGTATTTCAGAAAAGATTTTATGGTAGCCTAGAATATGGTTATGAGGATAAATAATCACTTATTACATATTTTTCCTTTTTATAGCAATGAGGGTTGAAGTAGTGCCATATGTATACAAGCGCTCTATCACTAGCTATGTCATCAAGCCCTAATAATCTTATTTTAACTAGTGAAGAGAGATTTAAAGTGATAGGCATCACTAGTTTTTTTTTTTTAAATATGAACAACAGAAACAGAATGGAAGCATTATCACATGAGAGTTAATAAAAAATAGTAACACTTAGTTCTTCTTTCTCTCTTTCTTTCTTTGCAAAAGACAAATGAACATATGCTGGCCACAGAGGATAATTCTGCTCAAGCAATTTATTTTTTAACCAATAGCATATATGAACTAAGAAAGCCACTGTTTCTGTCTTCAAGGAGTTTATCATCAGATAAAAGTAAGATAATTGTTATAGGATATAACTGCCCCAAAAGGTATGTGAAATGCTATGCACAGAATGATGAGGAACTCTACACACAACAATGAATTATGCATCAAAACAGAGGATAAAAGAGCATAATACAAGTGACTAGTCTAATCTTTTACAGAAAAAAGGTAAAAATGAATGTGTGGGAAAGTAGAAGACCAACAGCAAGGTGTTACACTTAATTTCAACCATAGCAGGAACGACATTACAATAAAGATTCAATATCAAGAGAAGACATAAACACTTGTGGGAAATGAGAAAAGCTACATGAATGAAGTAGCATTTCTCAAAGTCCTTAAAGGACAGGACATTATTTTAATAAGGCAGAGATGAAAGCTATACAGGCATATTATACAGAGATATCATAAGACAAATAGCTAAACTAAGATAGTTTTACTAATGATACTTTATCTGTATGAGTTAGAGTACAGTGAATACACATGGGAACTCCTGAAGACAAAACTGAAGTTATGCTGGAATACCATCTTAGCTCCTTTGAATCCCATAGGAAGGAGTTAGCAATTCATTTGTAAATAGCAAAATGGGCTTAGATTTGTGATGACTAATTCAAAGGTCATCAATTCTATACTTGTAGACAGATTAAAACAGGATGTCACCACATTATTATTAAGAGGAATTTGCACTTAATGTTTCTTTTAAGGAACAACAGAACTAGGCACAAATTCAGCATGTGGAAAATCAAGGAAAAAAAGAAGAACATAAGATTTTGCCTTAAAGTAAAGATGACACATCAAACAGGACATGTAATGGGAAAATGAGAATGAGGTAGAAATGGTTGTGACAAATGTCATGTCATGAGCTACCAAATTTTAAAATACGGAAGCTGGCAATGTATGAGCAAAATGTCCTAAGAGGGCACACCATATCTTCTGAACAAAGTAAATAGTAGGTGGAGGGTACAAAAAGTTCTGTGTTCTAAGTACATTTGGAGTATTTTAGTAATTTTATATTTGGTCAAGACAGTGTGTACTTAAATTTCAGCCTGTAAAATAATGTCTCCTCTAGTCTACTTAATGTTTTCTAACCTCTAAATTGCAAAACTTAAAACTCATTATTGCCTTATAATAAGATACTTAAGGAGAATGTTCAGTAAAGAACAAAGCTATTTGAAAAGTCCTATTGAGAATACCAACAAGTCTTTGAGGGCAATAAGAGAATGGAGTATGTTTTATATATAAAGTAACTGTCAATAGCAGACATTCATGCAATCTGCTGAAAAGCAAGAAATCAATTAAGTACTAGTTGCATGGCAGGCTCTTAAAATCACAGAATGTGTGGGCTAGCCACATCTGACATGTGTTACATTTCTCTGCAGAAAAATGTAAATGCACTAGAAATTATTTCCACATTCTTCTTAAAATAATAGCTGAAGGTTAAGAATAAAAGTGTATTGTACAATCTGTGATTTATAAACACAGAAAACTATTTTTACCTCACTTTATATATAACTTTTGTTCAAAACACCTTTGTGCATTGCCTTTTCAAATAAAAAACATTGATTATATGTGAGTAAAGCAATGATTTCTTGAAGATCTCCAAGGATTTCGAGCAAACTCATAGCTGTCATTTTGAATTGCCGTCTTAGTTTATAAAAACAACAAAGTGTTAGCCCACTACTCAATAAGTAGCAACTTTTATTTCACAAATAAACTTGAAAATATTTTCAAATTTGATATAATAAAACAGCAATAAGTATGAATTCCTTTAGTATAAAAATAAAAAAACCAACGAATCTCATCTTAATTTCACAATATTCTAATTGTCTTTGGTCTCATGTAAAAGTAAAAAAGGATTAAATAACACATAATATAATCACCATAGATTTTTACCAAGTTACAGTAAAGTGTTAATAATTATGTATTTTATTACTTTATGCACATAGACTGTGTCAGAAAACAAATACCTAGAGATAGAGTACTATTCTAGAAAATACATTTTTAGGAAATGTTTCTGATATATTTTTTGTTATTGTAAATTATGATTTGTTTGTTTTTATTGGTTCTTGTTTGTACACCAAAGAGAAAGAAAGGGCCTGGAATAGGGAGAGTTGAGAGGTGAGGGGATCTGGAAGGAATAAGAGGAGGGGTACCATGATCACAATATATTGTATAAAAAAGATTTCCAACAAATAAAATGTTTCTGATAAGCCATAACAACAGAAAACATTAGCTAAAAAGTTATGCTATTGCTATTACATCTATTCTCTAGAGCAGTGCATGTCACCAAAACCACCTAGAAAAATTTGCAAAGATGCAAGTTCTTGGGCCCTACCTATATAATACATTTGGAGTGGGTCCCAAACCTTCAAATTCTAACAACTTTACATGATATCCAACAGCAGTTGGTTACACTGAACTCTACTACTCTGGAACGTAGGCCAATAGCTATGACTGAAATTTGACCTATTTTTATGAATCAAATTTTAATGAATCCATGTATTTATGCCTGCCTGCTGTATTTGCCTTAAAATAAGAGAGACAATTGTGATAGATTCAATCTAGCCTACGAAGTTTTAAATATTGAGTATTTGGGTGGTCAGAATGATATGATGGACCTCATGGCTTTTTACCGAAAATATTTATTAATCTTCACTCTCAAAGTGAAGATTAATTTTCTTGTCGAGATTTTTAAAAAATAATACAAAGGGACACAGACTATTGGAGTACTTCTAAGCTAATGTTTCCCATGATCTTATAAAAATGAAGTTAGGTATTCTAGTTCATTTTATATCTTCTGATAATCTTACGATTCATGCATACTTTACCAGTGCATAATTTTCTTTTTAAGGATCATTTGCTCATTTTTCAAGTATAAAACAGCTAGTAATTTAACCAAAGGAAACACTGTCAGCCAATACCTGTTGCACAATTGTTGTTAGTTCCAAGCAGAGCTGTATGACATTATTTCTTGTGACTGAATAGTCTGTCACAGCAGCAAATGGTGACCTACAAAGGGAAAACAAAGATTATGATCATCAGCTTTTGAAAATCATCAAAATGAAATAGTATAACATAAGATTTCAAATAAGATAAAGAAATGAATTGTTCTAAAGCTTACATAATGATAAAACACAATATTTGGGACTCATTTAGATTAAAATGAGTGAAATTAAGAATTAAAATTTAGAAATATATAATTTTCTATCAAATCTTTCTTTATAAATTCCTCAATATTTAGTTCTTTGATGCTTCTCTCAAGACTCCTTTACTATATCTAATACAAAACAGCAGAAAAGGAAAGCTTAATCAAAAACAGTATTTCAGTATTTACTTTCCAAAGATACCCAACATTTTAATATGACATTTACTTGAAATACTCATAATTAAAGGCTAGCAATGTTAATAAACTAATGGTTACTGATGGCTTACTATATGTGAATTACTATTCTAATTGTGACATACATACTAATTTAACAGTCATAATAACTGTTATGAAATAGGCATTCTTTTATTATTTTCATTTTATAAAAGAGAACAACAAAGGTAAATAAATGTTCAGTGACTTGCCTAAGCAACAGAATGAGTGAGTGTGGGAACTAGTGTGTAGGACCTAGTGTTCAGAAGTCTGAAAACAGAGCCCACAGTCATATGCAGTTAAACACTAGCATATATTTACCTAGGGTTTATCATTACTTCAATCTCTTTTAAGGACAATATATACAAGGAATTGTTCCATTTCATCTAAGCTGACAATTTTATATGTAAAAAACTTTAAAATAAGACAAAATACTTAGCAGTATTTAATTGTAGTAGCTAAACCTTAGAAATCAAATATATACCAAAAAATCAAAATCTTAACATTTGCTCAGCGTCATTCATAAGGGAATTCTATACTTAAAAAGTAATTAAATTTTAGTTAATAAAAAAAACAAAATCATATACATTACAGTACACTTTAGAGATTCACAACAATGGTCATGGATACTACTCCTTTCACTTTTCTAGCACTTAATTATTGTGCATACTTTTTAGGACACGGAGCATGGAGAGATAGTTTCAGCATTTAAGAGTGCTTACTGCTCTTCCAGAGGATCTGGTTCAATTCCCCAAACCCACATGGTGGCTCACAACTCCAGTTCCAGGAGATCTAATACTTTGTTCTGGCCTCTGTGGGCACTACATGTGAAGGGTGTGCAAACATGCATATAAACATAACATTCATACACATAAAAAATAAAGGTTAAAAAATATTTTTAAAGAATTCAGGATACACCAAAAGGGGGGGGGGCTTGTGAAATGTTAGAATCCTATGTAGAATACATTTTTTTCCTTTGAAAACTAAATATATAATAAGCACATACCCACTAACAATATCTAACGGAAGTTTCTACAGCTTATCAGGAAAACAAATATTTCTCATCTAACACACTGTGGATAACATTCCATTATATTTAAATTGGTATCCATACATTTTAAATTTTCTATGGGTCAAGGAACAATACTGATTAGATATTCCTACAACCCAAGACAGAGGAGGGAACAAATGCAAATTCCCTAGTGTACTATTAGGATTTAGAATTTTTTCGTATTATTCTTTTCCCATGATTACTGAAGATTAAAAATTGATTCACAGAAAAAGGCAAAATAGAAAACTATCCTGCAGCTTTTTCTCACATCATGTTCAACCAAATCACGAATATTTCAATTTCCTAATCTACCACATACTTTATCCTATCTAATCTCTTAGCAATATCTGCCCCTATTGATAATTGTATTTTTCCTTCAAATTATTTTCTTTTGTTCCTACGACACTACTTTCACAAATTCCTTTTTATTCTGATTCTCTCTCTCTCTCTCTCTCTCTCTCTCTCTCTCTCTTTCTCTCTCTTGATGCGGGGTTACTCTGCATTGTTCTGGCTGTCCCGGGACTCCCTCTGTAGACCAGGCTGGCCTTGAACTCAGTTCCTGACTCTGCCTCCATCTCTCAAGTGCTAGGATTAAAGGCATGCACCACCATGCCCATCTTGAGCTAAACTTCTAATCATTTTTCAATTTTTGGCGGCCCACGGGGCTCATTTCTTATCCCACATCTCTCTATTCCCTCAAAAAATATTTTTATAAAGTATACAGTATAAGCTAAGACTTTTTCTGGATAAAAATGATATTTGTGAGCAAAGTATAAGAAAAATCTCTGCTCTCTTGAATGACATGTTATAGAAAGAATAGTTAGTAAGAACAATAGGTCTAGTTTATAAGTAGAGTCATATAGAATGTTAGGAAGATCTAAGATTTTTTTAAAAAAATCAAGTAGGGAAATCAAAATATATTCTAATATTTTCCTTACATCTCCTATTGGATAGTGTGTTAGCCAATTTTGATTATTCACTGAGTCAGACATGGCTTATTCATTCCAAATATCCCCATTCTCTGACTCTCCAGCTTTTATCTGCCCCCTAGGCCCTATTTATCTATCCAAACAACTTGAACATTCTTCCATTCTTATTAGTGTTTAATTAATTAAAAAAATCTCTTAGCAGTGGAGAAGATAAACTATGTAGTCAGATTGTCAGGATCTATCAAGTTCTAGTCCCATTTACTCATCATTTGTTTTTAATTTAACCATGCTAAATCCTAGTTTGCCTAATAGTATAATAAGGACAATCCTTTTGACTAAGTAAGTATGCCTGAAGTTATTCATGCCAAAGAGTCACCACTGTGGTTAGCATAAGAATCACTATCAGTAGTAGCAGTTATTAAATCCTGAAGAAGCCTCCAAAGCAGTATTCCTCTTTCTACCTTTGTTTTTCTCCAATCTTCTGCAACAAGGCATCTTTGATATTCACAGATCTGAACAAAGCATTAGTAAATATTAGTAAGGTCAAGAATTTCTTTTTATCTTTTCATTTTGTTTTACTTTATTTTAATTATTTTTTACTTTTTTTGAGACAAGGTCTCAGTAGGTAACTTTGACTGGCTGCCTGTGTAGACCAGGCACTAGAAAATTAAGATACCCACATTCATGAATCAGTAAAATTAATATTGTGCGAATGACCATCCTACCAAAAGCAATTTATAGATTCAATTACATACCAAAATAGCCACACCATTCTTCACAGAAATAGAAAAAATCATCATAAAATCTATATCGAACAAGAAATGACATTGAATAGACAAAGCAATTATGAACAAAAAGAATACTGAAAGGGTTGTCTCTTCCAGACTTCAGGTTGCATCTCCTAGTAATGTCAGGAGCTGTACTCACAAACTCTTACCAACATGACTGATTAAACATGAAACATGCCAAAGTGAATAGGGAAAACCACATAAGGCTCCAATTCTACACAGCAAACTATGGGCACCTAAGGAATGCTGAAAGTGGGAGAAATTGTCTTCTGTGAGAAAGAGCATACCAATTTGTTGTCCAATACCAAATTGTCAGTCATGAAAAAAACATACAAGTAATATTACACAAACAGAGCATGTTATATATATATATATATATATATATATATATATATATATATATATGCATGAAATATATACATATATATATATAAATAATATATATATTAATGTTAGGCCAACCTAAGTAAAAGACAGGCCATGAATTTGAAAGAGAGCAAGGAGGGGAGGGGTATATGGGAAAGTTTGGAGGGAAGGGAGAAATACTGTTATAATCACAAAAATAAAAATATAAAAGCAGTAAAATAATATAAAAACGTGGTACTAGCAACAAACCAGACATGTAGACAAATAGAACAAAAGAGAAGGCTCAAACAGGAGCATACATAACTTCAGCCACTTAATATTTGACAAAGATGCCAAAAACATTCACTGGAGAAGAGCAACCATCTTCAATACAGGGAAAATTGGGTGTCTGCATGTGAAAGAATGAGATTAGACTTGTATATATCACCTTGCACAAAAATACAAATGGATCAAACCTGAAACCTGAAAACTGCTAGAAGAAAACATGATACAGGTGTAGGAAAGGACTTTCTGACTAGGACTTCATTTGCCCAAGAATTAAGGCCAACAATTGACAAGTGGAACTTCATTAAACTAAAAAGCTACTGCACAGCTAAAGAAACAATCAACTGGATGAAGAGGAAGACCACAGAATGGGAGAGAATCTTTATCAGCAATACATCTGTTAGTGGATTAATATCTGGATTACAGGTTGGAGAAATCCGCAGGAACAGCTGGCCTGAACAAGGGAGAGCACATTGACCCCAGATGCTGTCTGGGAGGCCAGTACAAGACTGATCCAGACCCTTGAACATGGATGTCAATAAGGAGAGCTGTGGGTGGATAGGGTGGGGGGTGGGCTGGGGGTAGGGGAGGAGGGATGGGGGTGACGGGAGGAAGAGGGAGAAGGGACTTGAAACAAGCTTGTTCCCTAACTAGAACTAATAAATAAAATTAAAAAAAAAATATCTGGATTACATGAAAAAATTTTAAAAATCACAGACTCATTTAAAAGGGGGCCTTGGCTCTGAACAGTATTCTCAATAGAAAAAATGAAACTATTTAAGAAATACCTCATGTGTTCACCACCCTCAGCAACTGGGAATTGCAAGTTAAAACAAGTTTGAGGTTTCATCTCACCCAAATCAGAATGGCAAAGACCAACTAAACAACTCATATCATCTACTGTTGGTGGAAGTACAAACTGGTACAGCCAGACTAGAAGTAAAAAACTAAAAATAAACCTACCACATGACCAGCTAGCTATACCACTCCTTGACATATTCCCAAAGCACTCAATAGCCATAGATACATGCTCAGCAATATTTCTTGTCATCCTACTTACAGCCTATATTTTAAAAATAAGACCCTCATAAATTATTCAATCCCAAGTGGTCATCTCCAAACATGCATACATTTCAGCAACATTAAATGGACTCAACAGCTTGTGTGTGTGTGTGTGTGTGTGTGTGTGTGTGTGTGTGTGTGTGTGTGCGCGCGCGCGCGCACATGCGCGCACGCGCGCATGCGTGTGCGCAGATGTTTCTAACAAGAATAATTAAAGAAGTCATGAAGTTGAGAGGGACATGAGAAGAATTAGAGGGAGGAGAGTGTGGAGTAGAAATTACATAAGTATACTTCTAATATATGTAATTCTCAAATCAGGTTAGAAATACTTTTACTTTAAATGATTGATCAGTGTAGTTTATATAGGTATAACTAAATTTCATAATGTTATACTATGTTGAAAATATACTTTCATTTATTCAAAATCTGGTAGTATATAGTTTAGTGTCCAAATCAGGATTGAATACCATAACTATATATTATGTATTGATATAATTTAGATGATATAAAACTAAGTGAAATCAACTTCTGCTTTAAGAATACAAAATCTAGCTAAGCATTGTGGTACTTGGGAGACTGAGGCAAGTCGATCTCTGTGCTTTCCAGGCTAGCCTGATCTACACAGGACAGCCAAGATTATATAGTGAGGCCTTATCTCAAAAGAAAAACAAATAAATAAATAAATGTATGAAACCTTTATTTTAGATATAAGGTCTCATTTTTATTTTTAAAGGACACAGTCAGCAAGACAAAACAGCAGCCCACAGAATGGGAGAAGATCTTCACCCACCCACATCTGACAGAGGGCTGATGTCTAAAATATACAAAGAATTCAAGAAGCTAGTCTCCAAAACACCAAACAATCCAATTAAAAAGCAGGGTACAGAACTAAATAGAGAATTCTCAATAGAGGAATCTAAAATGGCTGAAAGACACTTAAGAATTTCCTCAACATCCTTAGCCATCAGGGAAATGCAAATCAAAACAACTCTGAGATACCATCTTACACCTGCCAGAATGGCTAAAATCATAAACACCAATGAGAGTTTATGCTGAAGAGGATGTGGAGAAAGGGGAATATTCCTCCACTGCTGGTGGGAGTGCAAACTTGTACAGCCACTTTGGAAATCAGTATGGCGGTTTCTCAGGAAAATGGGAATCAGTCTACCTCAACTCCCAGCAATTCCATTCTTGGGCATATACCCAAAGGATACGCATTCACACAACATGGTCTCATTTTTTAAAAAGCCAATTTGTATCTTACTGATGTTCCTTGTTGGAGGAATTTTGGCAAGGCTAAATTATCAGAATTTCTTCTAAGATTATTCAACCACAACACAGGGTAATAACATGAGCTATGAAAATAGAGAGCTCATTTAGTTTATTTTTAATTGTAATCCAAGTTTATGGCAATATCCAACCAAATATAAAAATTTAATCTTTTCCATTTCAGATTATAATTTTATACTATGATATAGGTTCCAAGAGAAATGTACAAAATAAGGGCAAGGAGACAATCAGTGCATGCTAACATCTACTTATTCATTGTTCTTTCAGTATGGTCATTACCAAAAGGAATGAAGAAATTCAGGAGAAACTGTCAATTTTCTTACAACATGCAAACAGTAATTCTGCTTATAAAAAGCAAAGGGATTTTGTGCTTGATAGAGATAAATTAGTGATTGTCTGTTTATCTTGATAGAAAATTTTACAAAAGATTTATATCTATATGATAATGACACAAAACTATTATGAATCATAACCAGATATTTATTATCTTTATTCCTCTGTCTGAGGTTTTCATAAGAAAATATGAAATAATACTCTAGTAAAAACTGATATCTGAAAAGGAATTACTTATGAAACATGGAGAAGAGTATACCTGTCCAACCAAGCAAGGAGACTCTTGGCTGCTCCAATAAGATCCACAACTGAGGTCAGAAAGTCATTTGGCAATTTTCTGCTGGTCCTTCCATCATAATGGCCACTCCTTCTCCTTCCTGTTATGAAGTTCTGTAGATTTTTGGCAGATGCATTCAACTTGTGAGAAAGGGTTTTTAAATTTTCTGTTTCTAAGCCATAATTCTGAATAATAAAACAGAGAAAAATATATTTAATGTCAATATTTCCTTTAGTAAAAAAGTCACTGGTATAAAAAAGAATTTACAGAGGTAAAGAATTACCAGGTAATGGTGGGGGGACAATGTTAGAATTACAAATGAATAAGATAGATTTCTGGTTTAGTGGAGCCCACAGTCAAATGCCTGTTTGGGGATATTAAGGATAGCAATTATAGTAAGATGTGCTAGCTAGTTTTTGTGTCAACTTGAAACAAACTAGTCATCTAAGAACAGGGAACTTCAATTGAGAAAATGACTCCATAAGCTATGACTGTCAACAGGAAATCCTGCACTGGTAGTCCTAGGTGCCATAAGATAGTAGGCTGAGGCCAAGCAGTAGTAGTACACACCTTTAAACCCAGGATGTGGGAGGCAGATGCAGGCGGATCTCTGTGAGTTCAAGACCAGCCTGGTCTACAGAGCAAATTGCAGGACAGCCAGGGGAGTTAACACAAAGAAACCCTGTCTTGAAAAATGGGAGGGAGAGAGAGGGGGAGGAAGGGAGAGAGGGAGGGAAAGAAGGAAAGAAAGAAAAAGTAAAAGAAAATAGGCTGAATATTTTCATTTTTCTCTAATCACTCCATGTTCCTTTATACTTGTCTTTAAATATGAAATTACTTCTTTTCAGATAACTTCTCTTTTAATTGATGTACTACTAGGTAATTTTTCATTTAAAGTTTTTGTTTTTATCTTATGCAATGTAGATGGTATTTTGCCTTCATGTATCTCTGTGTACCAATGTGAGCAATGCCTGTAGAGGTCAGAAGTGGATATCAGTTCCTCTGTAATTGGAGCCATCGAAGGCCTTCCATGGTGCTGTAATCTGACTCTGGAAGAGAAGCCAGTGCTCTTAACACTTATGCCATGTTTCTATCCTCCAACTAACATCTTTTTTTGTTCAGAAAGTGTCTTCCCAATGAGCAAGAGCAATGCAAACACCACCTACACTTTCTACACTCTTCAGTCATGTTTCTCAGTGTTGCTTTTAAATCTATATTGTCTTTATCAACTTTTGTGTTCCTTAATGGGATACTGGTGGTACAGACCATGCATTTTTCATGTTGTCCTTTCTACTTGTAGCATGTTTGAAGATGAATATACACTTGTTGAAAGAAGATATGAATAGAAGAAAAGGAAAAGTAGCAAGAACAGCGTAAACCAGTGAGATAAGACAGATTCCTATTTCTAACAGTGAATTCCTGGTCTAGTCAGCTCAATTTGTTGATGATGTAGTTTGCCTCCCAAATTTAAAATGGCAATGCGTGTACAACAGATTTCCAATTTACTTTTATAGTCACTAGAAAACATCTGTTCAATTCACTGGACAATGTCTATACCTCTGACTAGCTGATATGTAGCCACTTAGAAGGGATGTAAAGCAAGTACAATATCTGCAGTATATTACCATATGACTGCTGACCAAACACAGAAAAACAAAGGAATTTAATGGTTTAGCATTATTTTCCTCTGTACCATCTTCTAGAAAGTGTAGCTACAAGATATAGTATTCAAATTATGTAAAAATAAGTTGCTGAAGCTTGAAGTATAGAGGCAATAAAGCTTAGCATATGAAAAAATTCAGCAAAGCTACACATCTCAATTTTAAAAATAGTCTACACATAACCTCTGATACTATTTTTAAAGTAGATTTAGGTTAGTCAACCTTATATATGAGCCAAACTCCAAATGTCTACAAGTCTAGATGAACTGCACCTAATCTTGTCAATCATGCCATCTTTTCTTCATCCAACTGACAGGACAAGAATCTGTCACACATGAGGAGCCACTGGTATCAGATACATACATGCATATGTGTGTGTGTGTGTGTGTGTGTGTGTGTGTGTGTGTGTGTGTGTGTGTGTGTACATCAAGCTCTGAAACACTGAATTATAAATGCCATAAGATGCGGCAGAGACTGCTAGTTTATTAGCCCTCTACAACCTACTTCTACCTCTACAGTAACTTCTGGGCCAGCCAGACACGAATTTCCAGATTAGTGTTCTAAAGTATGCCCCCTTTTATCATTAGTACAGTCTTTTGCTTTAGGCATAATCGCTTCAACCAGATTCTGGTAGATTGTGAGTCCATATTCTGGTCTCAATCAATCAACCTCAATCTGTGTGTATGTGAGTGTATGCATTATTTCATCTATGTGGAATACTATTCTCTTGCTTCCTCTACCCACCAATCATACTAAACTTCCATTAGGCTGATTATGCACTATGCTCCCATGTATATCAGTAAAAACAGCTATTTTCTTTTTCCTGTATTTCCACAATATTTATCACATATTCTATATTTTGGTCATTACAGTATTAGGATTGATTATTTACATGCTATTTTCCTCAAATTTGTTTTACAAGGGGACAAAAAGCAAGCCTTATTCACAGTTGAAAAATTACTACATATATAAATTGACACTTCAGTTGAACTATAATTTATCTATTTGATTTCATTAGTCATCATCTCAATAACAGTTTACTGTATACTGTATGCTAGACACTGAATTAGGCACTATAAAAACATAATTCCTAATTTTTCAGACCATTAAAAGGAGATGGTATAATTATCTCAGCTTTAAACAAACTATGGCTACAGTGAAATGATTTGCTCATGAGTTTTCAGGAACTGGTTAAGCCAATATTCACATTCAGGTTATAGCATTATGTAGATTTCATTTTTGTCTGTATGCACGTAGTTCTCTTGTCTTACAAAGAATCAAAAAATTTTGAACCATTCAGGTTAGTTTTACCTTACTCTATCTGGACGAAATCTATGATTATATCTAACACCAGAATATCTAATGTGTTATCACAAGCTGAGGAAGCTTGTTTTGACATACATTTCTCTTGACTTAATATTCATTGTTTGTTAACTGAAGAAAGTAACCATATAATGCATGATATTTTATTTTCACTGATTATGTGTAGAAATAACATCTAAATAATATGTTTTAAAGCTTTTTAAAAACAAGATAACTTAATATTTCAAATTTTAGAAAAAGTTGATTTTACAATTGATTACATATACTTGTATATATAAAACTCCACTGCTAAGCTCCAACTTACTTTTCACATGGTGAAATAAAATATTACTAGTTAAGGTTAAGCTTCCTTGTCATTTATCACTAATGGATCAAATTTACATAAGAATATACATACTATACTTAGTGCAGAAATATTATACTTAAAAAATGAGAATTTTTTCCTACCTATATCTAGATTATAATAAAAGAGAGAGAAAGAAAAAGTCAAATGAATGGACAGGGGAAGACAGACATTAAAGGTTTTCTTTACAATTGGTTTCAATCCTTACCAGTGCACACAGAAGGTCAACTGCCTCCAAGATCAGTTCCTGATGGCCAATACGGCTGACTCCCAGATCTTCTAGTTCCTGATGTGTGATTCGTAGCAGCTGATCTCCACTGATCTTCTCCCTCTCAAAGTTCTTAATATACTGCTGCAAACAGTCATCAAGACCTACAAGTTAAATTAAAAAGAACAAAATAGAAAAAATGTTGAAATAAACCAGTTGATGAGCAGGTGAAAAACAAGCAACAATGCCCACCATGTCACAACATAAATCCATTTTGACATTGGACTAGTCAAATAATCCATTTCTTTTCAATCTGTATGTGACCTGTAGCAAAAAAAAATGTTATATTCTTCATTATTAGATTTCTATTCCTATTCAAACTTTCCCAGGTAATCACTGAAAAACTTACTTCTCTTCTAAGTTCTAGTTGCAGACAAATGCTCAGAATAATGAATATAAACAAGTTCCCCTACTTGCAAAGTTATATGAATAATACGTTTATTTTCTTTAACACTATTTCAGAGAGAGGGGCCACATTCTTTCTACATAAGCCTAATGAATCTGTCTTCCTGTTCTCTATCATCATAGATCTACTTCAATATTCTTTAAACTAAATAGTTTGTTTCAAAAAATTTATATTCTTTTACATTTAAAACTCTGCTATCTTAAGATAAATTTAAACAAAAACTTTACTATCCTTCCTACTGTATTCCCAGTCATCCTTTTTAGACCTAAGCAACTTCCCTTTCTTTTCTTTTCTGTAAGCTACAATGAATTCCCTAATCTATTTTAATGTGAAATTAACCCAAGTTCATAGTATATAATCAAATTAGATTTTATGTTCTTAAAAATATTTTTTCAAGATTATCCATGGCAATTAATAAGTGATTGGCCAGCCTACACACTGTGTTCAATCATCTATAAAAGTAGACTGGCACAAATGGCAAATTGGAAGGATTATCAAGAAAATTAAATAATTACCACAAACTAAGTGGTACTGATTATATCAAAAAGGTAGATAAAATTCCACAATGTGCTATATTTCATCAAAAATTATGAGGGAGTAGAAATCATAAGCAAGTAGAGGGGGAAAAGAGATATGGTTAAAACATATATACCAGGTGAACAAAGTCCTATAATGGAGATATATAGCCTCAAGATAGAAAAACAGTCCTAAAAGCAGTCTAGATCCTGACAACATACAGTTACCTTCATGTTGCTGTATCAAGTGAAATAATTTTAGCCCTCACCAATATTCACATAGCAGCGGTGAAACAAAGAAAAATAGTATTGGAAGACCACAAACTAAAGTTATTTAAAGAAAGTTTAAGAAAATAATAATGGAACATATCATGTTGCTTATGATTTCTCTTCATGAGTGTTGTTCTCATGGTAAGGAAAAAAGACAGCATTGAATGAGTGAGGAATCTTCAAAAGAGACTATATATAGGGGAAGCAAACAGGAAGATACTTGGAAAATATGTGTTGTTTGGTTTTCTTTCATTAAGATGTCAGATACTTGAAAATATTTATATGTAGAAAAGATCCATTTATCTCTATTGATACGGAGGAAGTAAGGAGGAGATAGGTGCAAATGCAGGTTGACTATGTTGATAAGATGATGAGAGACTTCCACCTAAACACTTCAAGACTACTGTATAAATGCATATGAAGGTACACTGGAAGTTTTTAAAGCAAAAAAAAAAAAAACCATGTACACTGGTATTATCATTACAAATGTATGCTAAGTACCTGAAGAATCAGTACTAAATAAAGTGTGACAGAGTCACAAAGCAAAAGGGGATTTTTATTTGAAAAGGAAAATGTTCATGTCAGCAACAGCCCTGAATACTGGTGATGGAAGAGTAAATACAACACAGACATTAGTAAATATATTTCTTTAAAGAGTGAGATAGGTATGCAAACTGATAATTGTAATTTGATGTATTAAGGAAAGTAGTGAAGGCAGCAAAAGTATAAATGGATAGGATGTTCTGGGGAAAGTACATAGGGCCAAAGATATAATGGGCCAGACACCTGAAGATGGCTATAGAAAACTTCATCTAAGAATGGTAACAAATGTAGTTCAGAGAGGAACAAATAACAAAATAGTCAGGACAGAAAAGTATTAAATCCAACCCAGCATTCCAGCGATATAAGGAATGAAAGTATCCTGAATTTGACAATTTGGAGATATCGGTGATTTTAGCCAAAGGTGTATTAAAACAATAAAAATGGATGTCAGGCAGTGAGGAGCCAAGGTGTAACTTAGAAATGAAAAAGGCAAAGAGCCTGCATACAGAATATTCCTTCAGGAAATTATATAGTATTGATGAGGATGGAGTGTATATAGGGAGGTGTCAAATAAGGTCAAATGGATTATTGTTGTATCAGTTTTAAACCTTGACCATGCTCCAATGTGTATATGGGCAATACAAATTGGATTTGATCTTTTAAATTTGAAGAGGGAAAGGGTTCTAGGATGGGAGGGTGGACCTGGGAGCAATGTATTGTGATTGAGGTGCACTGTACAAAATTCCCAAATAATTAATAAAAATTATTACGTTGGGAAGAAGAAATTAAAAGAGCAACATTAAGTAACTCCCTAAGTATACATAGTAAGTAACTGACCAGACAATCGGGGCTAAAACCTGGTCCTAGAGAATTTGAGATTGGATCTGTTCTGACTACATCAGATCACCTAAAGATTAAAAAATATCCAACAATAAAGTGGATTATATTCTTGCAAAAAAGGCAGCATAATGGGCAGAGAAGACTATAGTTATTTATATGAGACAAAATAACATTAGGTAAGAGAAGCACACTCTTTTCACACAGGTGAAAACAATTCGAGTTAAAACTGCAAAGGACAAAAACGACATGCTGGCATACTTCCAGCAAATGAGAAAATTGTAAAGTACCTGACAGACACACATTCAAAAGCTGCATTCAAATGAATGAAAGGGAAAACATTGTCTTTAGTCTTTAGACAACACTGAAACCAATACAATACATGCTGACTTGAGAAACTATTCTTTATTTTAGTCAATGCCATCATCCAGTCATCCTTCTGAATAAACACAGTTACTCTCTAACAAGTAACACACAATTCATTTTCACATGGATTCTCAAGAAAACCAAATAAAATAGAAAAAGAGGACAAGTTTCTTCTAGGCCTGTACTCAGTAACCCTGTCCTAATTTCTTTTGGAAAGCCTAGGCTTCCAATAGCTTCCTGTTATTTCAGAAGAAGCAGCAGAAATGCTGAGGACCAATACTAATTTCTGTACGTCTGTATGTGTTTACTGTGTACTAAGCACTTATCTAAGTACTGTACCAATATTTTCTCATTTAATTTTACAACAAACTTATTAATTGTACACCACTACCTTGATTTTGTAGTAAGAAATCTCAAAATTTGGGACCATGACTATGATTCTGCACTTTATAAATGGTAAGGCAGGGCTCTAAGGCAAGTTTGCTGACCCTGCTTTCAAATCCTCCAGTGGACTGAAAATGGAGGAAAAGTGGAAAGGATTGCTTACAATCCTTCAGAGTAACCATTTTGATGATAGGAGTCATTAATGTCAAAAACATTTCCCATTTCTAAAGCTAAAGATATTGTTAAAACTGTTTAAATTATGATTTCTATCAAAGCACATTTAATGGTGACATTTATATATGCAAAATTCAGTAGGACCATGAAAATTGAAAGTAACAAAAATATGGTTACCCAAATAATGGGAGTTAAATAACAATGATACAAAGTAGCACATACCAATGAAGAATACAGATTTATTAAACTGTGCAAAGCACTATAAGGTAGACTCTAAATGGTTCAGAGTTAATGTAAAGGAGGAGATATGATTAGATATAATGTAAAACATTCAATGGGTAAAAGCAAGTCAATCTTTCATATATGACTATCTATTCTTGACCTTTAACTGAGCAAAAGAATTTCCTAAAGAAATATATATCCCCTGCAACTAACCTGGGCAACACAAGAGAGGTGGAGGTGTGAGTGAGACAGACCCAAAGTAGTGTGTGTCGGGAGACCTAGCCCCACCCCTCATCTGCCACATGGTGGCATGGATTCTCCTGGGTAACACAATAGAGACAACCTTGTTGGCAGAGGAGTGTGTGAGCCATCCCTGAGGTTGTAAGCATGGAGAGATGACCCCACTACTCATCTGTCATGTGACAGTGTGAGAGGGTGAGAGATGCTCTCCCAACCCCTTGCCCCTTATCACCTGCAACAGATGAGACAGCTGGCCTCCCCCCTTATCAGCTACAGCACTTAGGAAATGGGCCCTGCCCCTCATCAAGGCCGCACAGCAGGGCTGTGGTCAGAGGTGAGGATGACCCTGCCCTAATGTTATGAACAAAAAAGAGCTGTCCCTGTTACTCATCAGACATGTGGTAGCATGGGCAGGGGAGAGATGCCCTAACCCCACCTCCTACGAATCAATGCCTGAAACAGTTAGGGGAATGAGCCCCGGGGTCATAAGAGCAGGAGGGCTGTCCCTACCACCCACCAGCTACAGCAATCAAAGACCCTTTGCCTCATCTGGGCAACACAATAGAACTGGCCCTAGTGATATAGGTGCAGAAGAGCCTACCATGAGGATGTTAAAGCAGGAGAATTGGCCTTACCCCTCACTTATTGCTGCAAGAGGTGAATTAGCCAGCGCAATGCTGGTGGTGAGGACAGGAGAGAATTGGCTGGAGGACCAACCCTACAGCTGCCCAGGCCCAGACTCAAGGTTAGAACTTGGCCCACCCCATCATCCACCCCATCTATGATCTGCTGGAGCACATGAAGAGACCTGACCCACAGACCCAGAGAGGCAGGATCTCCACAACACAGGACAATAACGTGATATCCAGGAGGAGCCCTAGCTAGGGCCCAGCATCGATAGGGTAGTAGAAACCAGAGGCCTAGAACCAGACCAATGAGTTTGCAATGAACACCTGCAAGTAAAGATATGTGGACAAAGGGGTTCACGGTGTGACTCACTGTGTTACACTGCAGCTTCCATGGCAAGATTTTTAATTTTTCCTTTTTTTCTCTTAATTTGTTTTATTTGGGTAGTGCAGGGGTGAAGGGGTGGAAAATAAATGGGATCAAGATACATGATGTAAAAGACACAGAATAAATAAAAAGA